CTGGGAATGAAACTGATTTTGACAATATTATTGTTCTGAATTAATTTTTTCAAAGCTTTCAATAAGATACTTGTTATTAGAATGGAAATGCTGTTGACAATTATTATTGTAAGGGTTTCCTCTCCCTCTTAAGGTTTACAGGCGGCACGCCCAAACTGCGGAGGTTATGGAACCCAGTTTTCACTTAATTAATTTTTTTCAAAGCTTTCAATAATATAGTTGTTATAAGAATGAACATGTTTTTGACAATTATTATTCTAAGAGTTTCCTCTCCCTTTTTAGGGAAACTGCTGAGGTGATGGAACCCAGTTTTCGCTGAATTGTTTCAAAGCTTCCAATAAGATACTTTTTATTAGTGTGATAAAAATACTTTTGACGATATTATTTTAAGGGTTTCCTCTCCGTCTTAAGGTTTACAGGCGGCGCGCCCAAATTGCAGAGGTGATGGAACCCAGTTTTTGCTGAAGTAATGTTTGAAAGGTTTCCATAAGATAGTTGTTATAAGAATGAAAACTCTTTTGATAATATTATTGCTTATTATATAAGATAGTTGTTTTTAGAATGGAAACTCTTTTGACAATATTATTGTAAGGGTTTTCTCTCCTTCTTAAGGTTTACAGGCGGCACGCCCAAACTGCGGAGGTGATGGAACCCAGTTTTCGCTGAATTAATTTTTTCAGAGGCTTCAATAAGATAGTTGTTATAAGAATGGAAACTCTTTTGACAATATTATTGTAAGGGTTTCCTCCCCCTCTTAAGGTTTACAGGCGGCACGCCCAAACTGCGGTGATGGAACCCAGTTTTCGCTGAATTAATTTTTTCAGAGGTTTCAATAAGATAGTTGTTATAAGAATGGAAACTCATTTGACAATATTGTTGTAAGGGTTTCCTCTCCTTCTTAAGGTTTACAAGCGGCACACCCAAACTGCAGAGGTGATGGAACCCAGTTTTCACTGAATTAATTTTTTAAAGCTTTTAATAAGATAGTTGTTATAAGAATGGAAACTCTTTTGACAATATTATTTTAAGGGTTTCCTCTCCCCCTTAAGGTTTACAGGCGGCACGTCGAAACTGCGGAGGTGATGAAAGCCAGTTTTCATTGAATTAATTGTCTCAAAGCTTTCAATAAGATGCTTATGATAGGAAGAATGAGATTGAATTGTAACTTGTTTTTCAATTTTACCATGGACAACACCTTCACATAAGTTATTGTCTCAAAAGTAATGTTGTTTACTCTTGTTTACGTTTTCAGGCAAAAGACATGGCATTGATGTCCAGCTAAAATTCCATTGAAGAACCGAATGAAAAATAAAATCCTGCAGGTCAAACTAGGGAGTTTGACATTGCACTGACTGCAGGTGACAAAAAACAAACGGCTCTTTTAGGACCCACCATATGTATTAAAAGATAATGACCAACCACAGAGTAGACCATTAAGTGTTCATTAAACTGTATCATTTTAATCTTTATGCCCTACTTTCACCAAAGATTTAACAGATTTAAAAGCTGTTTTGTTGAGCACAAACTGATTTTTTGCTGGTAAAAGCAGCCACTGATTTGTTAACTAACATTAACTTGCTACAAATTAAGCACAAAATCGCTGAAATACATATAAAATTCATATAGACTTTTCAATTTCCTTTAACAGGTAAAAACAATATTTAGTAGATTTAAATAGCATGTCTGTTTAGTTAGTGTGTATATAAGGTAAAATTTGCTTTTGTGGTTTTGCTAAAGTTGCATGAAGAAGTTGCATTGTATTGGTATAAAAAATTGACGTTCTAATTTCAACAATGACTACACCCTCCCATAGATACTATTATATTCCAAGTTTAGTGTTTTATGCTCTTTTCAACTTACACTTTAGTGAATAATATGATATCTACGCCAAGCTTACATTTCAAAGAGGCAGAGAAGAATAAAAAAGCAAAATTAATCTCTGTATAGGCCAAACAAGGACGTTTAACAATTAACACTGCCCTTTGCAGGTAAAAAGTGGAAGAGAAACAACTTCCCAGATATTTCAGGGAAGTGAAGTCCACCTAAAAAGAAGTTTCAAACAGTTACTTTTTTAATATAGAATCTTATTGAAAGTTTTCCATCCGTTGTAGTGGAGTATAGATCTGGCCACCAGATTACCTCTACCTCCCTAGTGGTCCGTCCTTGTCTTGGACCCACCTCCAAACTTGCTTTAGCTGTTAGACGTTTGGTTAATAGATCCTCTGACGACTCCTCATTTCTGACAGTGCTCCAAAAACTACGGTTCTTGGCAGCCTGGAGCTCCTCCTGATTGCTAAGGTCAGATCTTTTCTCCACTTCCTGTAGGTCACTGTACCAGGCCGTATCATTTAGTTTAAGGAGGGTTTGTTCAAGCAATGCATCAGTAAATGAAGTGAGGCTATACACTTTATAGGAAACTCGCCTTGTTGATGGGCAGTAAAATGAAGGCTTATTATGAGGTACCTCCCTCATGCTATGCACCCTGCATCCCATTTGACAAGCTAAGTGCCCAAAGTACCTTTCAGGAACTTGTGCGAATTGTAAAGTCACCCAACCACCTAGAAATGAAAGGAGACAAAACCAGCTACAATTAAATTGGGTCTTCAGTACATTTTTTTTGACAGGAGAAGTGTAACTTTAAGCTTTCTGAGATCATCTGACATTCTAAGTAAAATAAAGATTTTATTCATTCATTCGCACACAGTCGTTCTGTTTCGTCACGCAACGCTCTTCTCCCGTAGCCGGGATCATTGTGTAACGAGCGAAACTCGAGTAACGCGCGCTCGTGCCAGTGAGAGAATCGGCTAAATGTATCCCGCGTAGCAAGCGTTTCTGTGCGGTTTAGGAGTGAAGAACGAGGAACAAGAGTGAAAGACCGCGAGAAAAATGGCGCAAGTAAAGGAGCGGGGAGGGGTGGGGAAGAAAGGAAGGAAACGCTTGCAGGCCAACCCCTCGATTTTAAAAACCGCCCACTTGGACTGTCATGCCTGAGTTCACGCAACGACATTTGATGCTGTCATCAGCTGTCATAATTGACCAATAAAATGTTTGTCCTTCCGAGGAGCGGAAATGAACTTAGAGGCGCGTGTGTGAAACCAAAATAACTATTTTTGTATTTTGGAACGGGTGGACGGCGTTAATGATAAATCTCAATGAACTCGAACGATCAATGCAGTTCAAAGCTCATCTAGACAGAGCGGCTTACCGTTCTCGCCACTGCGCAGACAACTAGAGTGCTCTTGTAAAAGCATCTAAGAACAAAGCTAACCCGACAACTGATGACGTTCGTGTGGAGAACAAAGCAGCAATTTTAAATCAGTCACAATTCAGTTCTCCATAAGGTTTCCATAAGATAGTTGTTATAAGAATGAAAACTCTTTTGATAATATTATTGCTTATTATATAAGATAGTTGTTTTTAGAATGGAAACTCTTTTGACAATATTATTGTAAGGGTTTTCTCTCCTTCTTAAGGTTTACAGGCGGCACGCCCAAACTGCGGAGGTGATGGAACCCAGTTTTCGCTGAATTAATTTTTTCAGAGGCTTCAATAAGATAGTTGTTATAAGAATGGAAACTCTTTTGACAATATTATTGTAAGGGTTTCCTCCCCCTCTTAAGGTTTACAGGCGGCACGCCCAAACTGCGGTGATGGAACCCAGTTTTCGCTGAATTAATTTTTTCAGAGGTTTCAATAAGATAGTTGTTATAAGAATGGAAACTCATTTGACAATATTGTTGTAAGGGTTTCCTCTCCTTCTTAAGGTTTACAAGCGGCACACCCAAACTGCAGAGGTGATGGAACCCAGTTTTCACTGAATTAATTTTTTAAAGCTTTTAATAAGATAGTTGTTATAAGAATGGAAACTCTTTTGACAATATTATTTTAAGGGTTTCCTCTCCCCCTTAAGGTTTACAGGCGGCACGTCGAAACTGCGGAGGTGATGAAAGCCAGTTTTCATTGAATTAATTGTCTCAAAGCTTTCAATAAGATGCTTATGATAGGAAGAATGAGATTGAATTGTAACTTGTTTTTCAATTTTACCATGGACAACACCTTCACATAAGTTATTGTCTCAAAAGTAATGTTGTTTACTCTTGTTTACGTTTTCAGGCAAAAGACATGGCATTGATGTCCAGCTAAAATTCCATTGAAGAACCGAATGAAAAATAAAATCCTGCAGGTCAAACTAGGGAGTTTGACATTGCACTGACTGCAGGTGACAAAAAACAAACGGCTCTTTTAGGACCCACCATATGTATTAAAAGATAATGACCAACCACAGAGTAGACCATTAAGTGTTCATTAAACTGTATCATTTTAATCTTTATGCCCTACTTTCACCAAAGATTTAACAGATTTAAAAGCTGTTTTGTTGAGCACAAACTGATTTTTTGCTGGTAAAAGCAGCCACTGATTTGTTAACTAACATTAACTTGCTACAAATTAAGCACAAAATCGCTGAAATACATATAAAATTCATATAGACTTTTCAATTTCCTTTAACAGGTAAAAACAATATTTAGTAGATTTAAATAGCATGTCTGTTTAGTTAGTGTGTATATAAGGTAAAATTTGCTTTTGTGGTTTTCCTAAAGTTGCATGAAGAAGTTGCATTGTATTGGTATAAAAAATTGACGTTCTAATTTCAACAATGACTACACCCTCCCATAGATACTATTATATTCCAAGTTTAGTGTTTTATGCTCTTTTCAACTTACACTTTAGTGAATAATATGATATCTACGCCAAGCTTACATTTCAAAGAGGCAGAGAAGAATAAAAAAGCAAAATTAATCTCTGTATAGGCCAAACAAGGACGTTTAACAATTAACACTGCCCTTTGCAGGTAAAAAGTGGAAGAGAAACAACTTCCCAGATATTTCAGGGAAGTGAAGTCCACCTAAAAAGAAGTTTCAAACAGTTACTTTTTTAATATAGAATCTTATTGAAAGTTTTCCATCCGTTGTAGTGGAGTATAGATCTGGCCACCAGATTACCTCTACCTCCCTAGTGGTCCGTCCTTGTCTTGGACCCACCTCCAAACTTGCTTTAGCTGTTAGACGTTTGGTTAATAGATCCTCTGACGACTCCTCATTTCTGACAGTGCTCCAAAAACTACGGTTCTTGGCAGCCTGGAGCTCCTCCTGATTGCTAAGGTCAGATCTTTTCTCCACTTCCTGTAGGTCACTGTACCAGGCCGTATCATTTAGTTTAAGGAGGGTTTGTTCATGCAATGCATCAGTAAATGAAGTGAGGCTATACACTTTATAGGAAACTCGCCTTGTTGATGGGCAGTAAAATGAAGGCTTATTATGAGGTACCTCCCTCATGCTATGCACCCTGCATCCCATTTGACAAGCTAAGTGCCCAAAGTACCTTTCAGGAACTTGTGCGAATTGTAAAGTCACCCAACCACCTAGAAATGAAAGGAGACAAAACCAGCTACAATTAAATTGGGTCTTCAGTACATTTTTTTTGACAGGAGAAGTGTAACTTTAAGCTTTCTGAGATCATCTGACATTCTAAGTAAAATAAAGATTTTATTCATTCATTCGCACACAGTCGTTCTGTTTCGTCACGCAACGCTCTTCTCCCGTAGCCGGGATCATTGTGTAACGAGCGAAACTCGAGTAACGCGCGCTCGTGCCAGTGAGAGAATCGGCTAAATGTATCCCGCGTAGCAAGCGTTTCTGTGCGGTTTAGGAGTGAAGAACGAGGAACAAGAGTGAAAGACCGCGAGAAAAATGGCGCAAGTAAAGGAGCGGGGAGGGGTGGGGAAGAAAGGAAGGAAACGCTTGCAGGCCAACCCCTCGATTTTAAAAACCGCCCACTTGGACTGTCATGCCTGAGTTCACGCAACGACATTTGATGCTGTCATCAGCTGTCATAATTGACCAATAAAATGTTTGTCCTTCCGAGGAGCGGAAATGAACTTAGAGGCGCGTGTGTGAAACCAAAATAACTATTTTTGTATTTTGGAACGGGTGGACGGCGTTAATGATAAATCTCAATGAACTCGAACGATCAATGCAGTTCAAAGCTCATCTAGACAGAGCGGCTTACCGTTCTCGCCACTGCGCAGACAACTAGAGTGCTCTTGTAAAAGCATCTAAGAACAAAGCTAACCCGACAACTGATGACGTTCGTGTGGAGAACAAAGCAGCAATTTTAAATCAGTCACAATTCAGTTCTCCATAGTCGATGTAGCTTCAGTTTTTGTTTTATCTGTAAATCACTGTCCGAGAGAATTCAACATTCCACAAAAAAAACACATACGAGCTAGGCCCAACATGACAAAACATTGTAGGAAACCATCCCATTCCCTGACAAAAGAAAATCGTTTTTAGTTATTCAGATCCAGGGGACACTTTAAACAATAAATTAAACGATTTGAAACCCTTATATAGTCGCAAGAAGAGCTTTGAGTTTCAAGAGAAGTTAAAGAAAATGCTCTTGCATTGGAAGGTAAATCTTGCCGACCAGAATAAACAACAACTGCAGGAAGATGCGTGTCACGTACCATACATGACCTCTCAGTATGAAACAAGCCTATCGACACATTTCAACATTGTTCGACTAGACAAGCCAATCAGGCGCTGCGTTCGCTGGCGAACGTAGGTTTTCAAAATCGAGGGGTTTGTTAGCCTGCGTAGCATGGCGGTTTTGGTTGGGCGCGCTAAGTAATAAAGGCGGGCGAGGGCAGAGAAACCGCGAGGAGATTGGGGCTCGTTCTCGCGCGCTTCGTACGCGAATTTCGCGGCTTCGCCGCTCGTGCGCCCTGTTCGACAAAGCCGCCATGCTACGCAGGCTAGGGGTTTGTCTGCAAGCGTTTCCTTCCTTCCCCTCCCCCTTCCCCCTCTTTCATTTTTTGGCTCTCTTCATTTTTCGCGCGGTCAAAACCGAAAATCCCCTTTCCTCGGTTTTTTTACTCCGAAACTAAACGGAAACGCCTGCTACGCAGGCTAGCTAATGACCCGCAAAGTACTTTGCTACTAAACTGAGAAACTAAATGCTAAAGAAAATAGCAAAGTTTAAGGGTAACGACTGTGCGCACAACTGAAAAGATGACTGGGTAGTACCTCAGGTGGCTTTTAACCAGGAATATTCAAGCGCGTAGATCTAAATTAAAAGCGATGCAAAATGGTTAGGTAATATTAGGCTTTGTGCCTTTTAAATTCGCCACTTACCACGTTAACGAGGATTAAGGGAAGTGTTTATCTGCTCCGTAAGTCCTGCCAGCCACGATAAATATCCTATTTTAAAATCTTGCGATCTCCTGTTAAGAAATCCAATGTCGGGCACTGAAGACTCGTTCTCCTCGTTGTCCAAAAACACCACATTTAAGACTCGATCACCTTCCACCGTGTGTTTTCGTTCCGCTTGTTTTTGAATTGCGCTTAAAGTTTTAGACTTTCCAGTACATAAACAACATTTCTGTGAAAACGTAAAGCGCAGATCCATGTCGTTGTCAGCTATAACGGATTTGTTAATATCTCGCCGTCGATTTTCCTGTAGCAAACCACAGGTAGCCCAAGCTCACTATGAGAGCCCTGAACAACATTATCCTACTTAGCTAATTAATTATTCATACAGCAAGAAAATTATAAGACGTTGTATGGAGAAATATTCTTTGCTCACTAAATTAGCAAAATGTACATTGAATATCGCTTTGAAGCTTACCTTTAGCATCTTCTTGTTTTTCTTTGTATTCTGACTGCATTTCAGACCTCCCAGGCACTGTTTAAGGCCTTTTTTGGAGCGACAGTTTTTCACCCAGATGACAGTAGAGAGAAGAGAAGAGACGAGAAGGTTGGCAAACCTCTTGACCGGCTCCGCTCTCGGCGGCGATAAATTCCGTGACATATGCGACATGGAGACAATTCCGCCAGAAACAGATGTCCTGATAAATAACGCACATTTTCCATCATTCACGTCGCCAAAATTCCCATTTCGAAGGTCCTAAATCGCCAACGAAGTGGGCAATACACGGCTGAGGTGAGGCGAGTCGAGAGCAGACCCGCAAAGGACTCCAACCGTCACGTCGACAATTCAAACCGACGCGGGCTGGCAGGGTCAAATTGTTCAACCGTCAAAGGACAATTGGAGCATTTAGCCTACTGGGCACAGTAACTGATTTTTCACTTCTCACATTGCACTCCGGGGTCGCGGAAGTCAAGCATCGCGTGTGATAGTGACATGTAATATCACTATAATTTTCTTGCTGTATGAATAATTAATTAGCTAAGTAGGATAATGTTGTTCAGCTTCAGGGCTCTCATAGGGAGCTTGGGCTACCTGTGTAGCAAACTAGAAATTTGTCGAGTAACATTCCTTGTCAATCACATAGGTTATGAGAATAAAGGACGTGATCACACAGCGCTTGCGATTGATATAAAATAACTTCTCCTAACCATTTAAGAGGGAAATGTACTCAAACGAGCGAGAGGAGTTACGCAAAAAAGGAGAGCGAGTATTCCGAGTAAAGGTTTGGAAAGTATCGTTCAATAGCGCATTCAAAAAGAGAGAAAAGAAAGCAAAATAAGGCATGGCAGAGGAGAAAATGGGAGGAAGGATTGAAGAATGAGAACTTTCGTGTACCAGAAAGAGAGGAGTTGCCACAAGAGGAGAAATATGATGAGGAGACTCGTGGACCAGAACTACAGAAGATGCCAGAAGAGGGAGAGGAGAATGAAAAGGTTCGAGAATCAGAAAGTGAGAAGGTGGCAGAATCACTGCCCGCAAACAAGAAACGGATCGAGGCCAACAAACCATCGCCAAAGGCAAATACTTTTTCCAGAGGAAAGGTCATGGTCAAATTATCACATTCGAAGTTAAAACGGAAAGGTCATACCGAAGAGAAAGACGTGCCGGCCGCAAAAATTTCACGGAAACAAATCTAAGTTAGCTCCAGAAAAAATAGCGTCGTCAAGAACGCAGATGCTCTTGCGTTTAAGGAGATCAATAGGTATTTGCAGAAAGTGGATAAAAGCCAAAAAATTGGAAACGGAACCTTCGGGAACTGCTACATCGCCCTATACCGCAATGAATACCGCGTTGTTGCTAAAGAAATAAAAATAATAATTGAATCTCCAAAGAAGACAAGAGAGGAAGTGTGGCGTGAAGCATCGGCAATCACTGGAATTGGAGACCACTGGGGAATCCCTCTTCTGTTTGGTGTTTTCACAGATCGGGCACCATTTTATCTGGTTCTTCAGTTCCACGCTTTGCGCAGTGAAAGCGTAACACTTTTTAAGGCCCCTTCGGAAAAAGTTATTCAAGATGTTGCCATGTGCGCAAATATCTTAAACCAAACATGCGAATTACTAATGTTCATCCATGAAAGAGGTTTCTTGCACAACGATCTGAAGAGCAATAATGCTGTCATTGACGGATCGGAAAACAAGCCCGTGATTATCGATTCTGGAAAAAGCTGCAAGATTGTTAAAGCCAGGTTACGTAAACCCAAGGTGAACATTGAGAAATCGATGAACAAATTTCCGCACATCGTACCGGAAGTACATCGCGGTGAAAGGCAGTCCATCGCTAGCTACGTGTTTTCATTTAGCTATCTGGTCACTCGTTTATTTAAAGACGCTAAGCTAGAAATTACACCAATCCTGTAGGAAGTGGCTAAGAAATGTAAGAGGTCAATCCCAGGAAAACGTCCTAAACTGGTCGACTTTTTCACCATCCTGACTTAATTATCATAAATGATTTTACAGTGCGCTCTATTGACCGTGTTCAGGAATATGTTGTCCGATGTCTTTCAACCTTTTGTAATACGTCAATTGGAATAAGACTTACTGAAAAAATGCTGAAAATCACTAATTTTTGGCTTTCATTTACAATCCAGAATGTGCTGAGAATTTATACTTGAGGCCAGTGTTTCATCTAAGTGGTGCATAATTTTCGGTCGAAGAGATTTTTCAAATTTCTGCGTGTCATTATTCCGGAATTCGATCAATCGAACGCTTTCTTATTGAGGTGGTCAAACGGGCATCATTTTTTCTTGCACAAGGCTCATCATGATCACACGATTTCTTCAATACAAGGAGAAACCACTTTTCAAATCATTGCGGAAACTTGATGAACGTCGAAAATGGGTTACTCGATTAAAATTAAGCCTTGAAAGAAATTTCTTTCGCCGTCTAGTTCGGCCATTTTTAGTAGGTTAGCCTTATAACCTCCCCTGTGCAAGGAGGGAAACTTCTCGTGCATCCTTCTTTTGTTCTTTTTAGGAACTGTGTAACTTATGTAAATATGTGATATATTTTTTAACGCCTTTGCTACAGAAATTATGTGCATAACTTGCGAAGTTGTTGACTTAACTAGTTAATAGATATATTTGTGATGATATTCACGCAATTCTGCAAGGAAACTGAGCGCTTTTTGAAATTTTGTTACATTTCTCCGGTTTTCGACTGTCAGACGAAATCATTGCATAATACTTATTGTCGATTATGCTTATGCTGCCAACGTGACAGAAGTCCACCAAGGATTATTAGTCTCACCTTGTTAACGCTTAGAATTAAACGGAGGGATGAAAGAAATCTAATTAAAATTGAAAGTGTCGACAGCTGATGAACATGTTTCAGGGTCTCTTTTTAAACTTTAGCCTTTGTGGTCCTTAGTCCAAAACAATGGGAGTTGACAGCTTACCTAATTATAATCCCAACAAATATTCCATGAATGCGCCGTTAACGGCGCTTTCGCATTAAAATCGACCCTCTAACTTGTTATGATTTTAGCAAAAACTGCTATTTCGCCAAATTTTTTTTTTTGGAGAAATCGCAGAAATTTCGGGAATCGCAGTTTTTGCTGGACACTCTTGTACCTCCCCCTCTGGTAATTCCAACACTTGACTTAATTAGTTTTAGCAAAAACTGCGATTTCTCCAATTCTTCGCATTTTTTGCTACTGCGTGCAAACTTGGACATATCTCTTATCTGTAAGAAACATTTTAGGCATTAGGAGCTTGGTCACCGGCTCCTATATGTACCATTAGGATTAAAAGACGGTTATGCCTAACGTAGGCCATGTACAAGGAAGTAACAGTTTAATTCTGTAATTTAACCATATGGCTTTTCCAGCAAATGAGGCTTAGCACAATAATACTGTTACTTACAAGATTTAAAATTGGCAATGATAAAAAAAAAGACTTTAAAATACGTATTACCCACAAATGTTTGTTTTATACTGATTTGTACTGGAGCCATAATCGGAGAAGAAATCGCAAGCGCCGAGTCCACGCGGTTCCATGGCTAATTGCGCTATTTTTAGCAAGAACTGAGCAAATCTCAACCTCATTAACTCGCGCGGAACCCGCAAATTTGACAGGATCCAGCATAGAGTTTCAGGAGATGGGCGATCTTCTTGTAACTTTACTTAAGTGATGTTAAAACTTTCCAAATGCTTCATATCTTATATGTAATATACACCTGTGTCATATCTAGTATTAAATATATATTATCCGTATTTTTCCATCCACATAGGAAGAGAAATCCACAACAACTTTACTACGCTTCAAGCGTTGCTTTTTTTATTTAAAGAAAAAAACTTGGGCTGTATTATCTAAACATTTCCTTCGTTATTTCTTAAAATTTTCGTGATCTCGAAAAGTAACGAAAAACGGCAATACCTTAGATAGAAATATGTACACGTGTACACGATGTATCTCTTGATGTGGCTTAAAAAATCATGAAGAGGAATAAAAGGAATAAAATATTTATGCATTGCATTATACTCAGGAATGGGATGACTGTGTAGTTGTTTGTAGGCTCGTCTCTTTCTTCAGTGCCAGTAAAAAAGCAGAAACATCTTCATCAACTAATTGCATTTGCCATTATTTTTTGTCGCTAGTGGCGGTAATTTTCCACCCTCCTTTTTCTGATTTTTTTTTTCCACCAGGACGGGATATTCTTTGGACGACATTTCCGACATCTCTTCGTCATTACATTTCTCAAAAGCACGTTCACTACAATGTTTACAATAACCAGAATCGGGCTCCTGCTAGAATCACGTCCATAGTCTTCGCATTTATAGTCAGTTTCAAAGAGCTTCTCCCCAAGGGCTTGCCAAAAAATCGGAAGAGACAATGATGACAAAAGGGAATTTATTCATGTCCCTTAAAGGTAATTTTCGATGCCAGTTTGTGTATTCTTTGCACGGCGTTCTTGCAAAAATTATATTGCGCTCGTGAGTCACACGGAATGGCGCAATTTGTATTAAAAATTCCAGATTTGAGTATTTTGATGGAACCAACCCTATTTGATACTGGAAAAGGGGTCACCATGCTCAAAGTCTGAATTACTTGTAGGTACGTATACCAAAGCGCATTGAACATGGACCAACGTTAACATGAGCCGAACGCTAAAGAGGTGTTAGGCAAAGCCTTGAAAAGCCTCAAAGTCATCCTCAAGTTATCCCAGTTTGTCTTGGCAATAATCCCTTGTCGTGGTTCA